TTTGGGTGTTGAAGATTTGAGTCTCAGGGCTTGGGGTTTAGGGTTGGGGCGCAGAGTTTGGGGCAAAGGTCGTGAGGCTCAGAGGTTCGGGTATGGGATTTAGGATTTTACTTCAAAGGTTAACCCAAAAACCCCTAAACCCCAAACCCTAAACCCTCCCAAACTCCAAACCCTAAATCCCTTCCAAACCCCAAACCCTAAACCGGGTTTGCGTCGAGTCGCAAGGTGGACGAAGCTTCCGCACTTCGGTTTACGTCTCATAGAAGATTGAGCGGAACCCTCAAACCTCAGCCCCTACCCAGAACCTACCTATTTAGGGTTTATAGGGCTTAGGGTTTCTATGATTTCCATGTGCAAGTCCTAAGCTGTTTAGGGTCCAGGTATACTGTAGAACCTACAGCAACCCTGGTAGAACCCTAAACCCTAAACCGTACCCTTTGAAGGAACAAGGGCTTTGTGTTCGGAGCTCTGAGGTCAGATCCGAGCAGTGGCGACTAATGCACAAGCCTGCGATTCATAATAAACCCCGAACCCTTTCCTAAGCATTCTAGGTTTTAGGGTTTAGGGTTATAGGGCCTAGGATTTTAGGACTTTTCGGTTTGGGGTTTAATTAGGGATTTTACTATGGAGCCTCAGTTTTAAGTCAGGCCTTCTAAGGAGAGGAGGTTTCTCAATCAAAGCTCTGAGTCGGCGTCAGGGTTTGCCCTTGCGGTCCTCTCCGACGAGGGTGTGAATCCCGGAGGGCAGCGCATCCAAGTCCTGCCCCATACAACGGCTTGGGTTCAGGGCCTTAGAGCCTTGGGGCTTTGGGTTTAGGGTTTACGGTTCAGGGCTTAGGGTTTAGGGGTTTAGGGTTTGCGGTACAGAGCTTTGGGCTTAGGGTTTAGGGTTTCGGGTTTAGGGCTTAGGGTGTAAGCCCTTCTCTAAGGAAGCCCTGAACCCTCGGCCCGCTGAATCCTGTCTCTCGCCTTGCCCTGAACCTCTTTGAATCTCAAGGGCTCTGCGGGTTTAGGGTTGAGGGGCTTAGGGTTTAGGGGTTTAGGGGTTTAGGCTTTAGGGTTTAGGGTTTAGGGTTTAGGGAGGGGTTGAGGGTTTCGGGTTTTGGGGTTTAGGTAGGGCTCTGCCTTACGAGCCGAGTTTGGAGGAGATCCAGCAGATCCGACCCCAAACTCAGGCGAGCTCCGAAGAAAACGGGACATATTATATGGGGTCTGAATAATTACCCTAGCTATTTAGGGTTTAGGGTTTAGGGTTTAGGGTTCCTTGGGGTTCCCCCCAAAAAAATATAACATAACCTGCGGAAGCCAGTCCGATCCTGAATCAGAGCGCAGGACTCGAGCGTTCGCTGCCTTAAGCCGCTGACATGCGAGGTTCTGCCCAGAAGGCCTAAAGTTGAGCATGATCTTAAGCGCACTCCTCCGATATACGTGTTTTTTAAGTCGTCATTCGAACAGGGTGTTGGTGTTGAGTATACTACAAGCGATAACAAGGAACCTTAAGGGACGGTAGTTCTTCTTCTTCTTCGGACTTCAGAGCTGTCGAGAGCGGCGTGTCCCAAAGGAACGGTAGTACGAAGTACTCAAGCCTGTACGTGCTCCCTGCCGCGATAATACCTCCCTCAGAACATCCGAGACCTCCCTTTTGAGCCTAGCCCCGATAGGACCTCCTCTAACAACTCAGTGTTTGGGGTCTAAGTCTATAAGACTAGGGTTTTAATATACAGGGCATCGAGATTGCAGGGTTTGGGATGTGTAAGGTCGAAAAACGGCTAGCCCTACACCCTAAACCCAAAACCCTAAACCCTAAACCCTAAAGCCTAAACCCCACACCCAAAGCCCTAAACCCTAAACCTAAAACCCTAAACCCTAGACCCTAAACGTGCTTAGGGTTTAGGGTTTACGACTTTCCCTTCGCAGACGAGCTTCAGCTTCTCCGGCATCTCGTGCTGACCGAAGAGCACGTTCTCCAGGAGACTGCCATTCAGCAGCCTGGAGGTTGAGTTGAGGCTTTTTTGGGGGGGTTTAGGGTTTAGGGTTCAGAAGCCTGGAGGTTGAGTTGAGGCTTTTGGGCCTTAGGGCCTAGGGGGTTTGGGGTTTAGGGCTTAGAGTTGAGGCTTCTGGGGCTTAGGGCCTAGGGGGGTTTGGGATTTAGGGCTTAGGGTTGAGCCTTTAGGGTTTAGGGTTTTGGGTTTAGCGCTTAGGCTCCAAAATTTAGGGCTTAGGGTGTACACTGTTGAGGAGGCTGCAGTTCAGGAGCCTCGTAGACTCGGAAGCACTGCAGAAACCTTACATCATTCCTTAGGGTTCCTTGCTATACCTATACTACAAAGGAGCCCAAAACCCTATTCTAATTAATAAGGCCCCTGCACCACGCTGATACCGATCCTACCGACCGGGAGGCACCGTGAGCAGGCTGGACCTTAGGCCTAAAAGAAGCAAACCCTTACGTAAAGGAAACTACAGGTGGGGAGTTTAGGGTATATGGGTCCCTTAAACGGGTTCCTTCAAGGGATCTCTGAGGGTTTCTCTAGGGCTTCTATAAGGCCACTATATAGGTAGTTCTCTAAATTAGGGCTCCTTTTCAGGTCCCCAATATAGTACGGCACCCTGAAAATAAGGACCCTAAAAGGGACCCTAATTTAGAAAACTACCCACATGTTTCCACAATTCCTCAAGCCTCTTTCGAGGCACACTGAAAGACAATGCCCCAAACTTAGGACCTCAAGCTCAAACCCTAAACCCTAAGCCCTGAAGCCTAAGCCCTAAACCCTCATCATCCGTCATCTGACAACCTCGGACAAAACCCTAAACCCTAAACCCTATACCCTAAACCAAAAAACCCTAAACCTTGAACCCTGAACCCTGAACCCTAAACAGCAGTCAGAATCTGTAGCAGGTCGCCAGGGTCGCTGAGCCACGAAGGCTGTGGCGCGCCCTCAGCTTCACCCAAACATTTAACGTAAATGTTGTTTTGGGTTTAGGGTTTAGGGTTTAGGTCTTAAGGTGTAGGGTTTAGGGTCTAGGCTTTGGGGTTTAGGCTTTAGGCTTTAGGGCTTGGAGTTTAGGGTTTAGGGTTTAGGGTTCAGGGCTTTTGGGGTGTTTACCAGGAGGTTCCTGGGACTTAACAAGTACAGTAAACAGTACCTTACTTGGGGTTCTAAGTACTTACACGTATAGCTACCTTATCTAGAACCCCAGTTGCTAAGTTCACTGAACCTTTAAGCAGCCTTCAGGTTTAGGGGTTTAGGGGTCTAGGGTTCAGTCTCAATTTCATGCTCCGAAGATAATTCCCCATAAGGGTTCTACTAGGGTGGCACAAGGCTTTACAAGGGTGTTAGCGGTGCAAGGGACCTAAGGAATGCGAAGGAGAAGGAAGCGTATGTGGGGCAGGAGGCACAACCGTGGCTCCAGCACCTTTGCCTTTCTTGCGAGGGCGTGTCACGGGAGTCGGAGTGGGGAGAATGCCATCCTTGAGAAGGTCCGCAAGGGCTTGTTGGATCAACTGTTTGAGGAGTGGCACAAGCAGCTGTTGGAGATCAGTCCCGCCTAAGAGTCCACTCAAAGCATTGGCTCTGCTTTCACCGCGGGCCCTGGGCCCCGGATGAGATGCTTCGCCGACACGCTCACCGACATGCGGGTCATGAGTGACCTGGTGCTCTGGACACAAGGCCTCGGACATGGGAACGGGCGTGCACGGGCCTGGATGGCTCGCCTCACCTATCCTCAGACCGTTATTGGGGTCACGATTCCGACTGTGTTTCGGCTCATGCTGGGCATGCACATTCATGGGACTTAGTAAGTGCAGTTGTAAGTACCTCAAATGGGGTAATAATTAATCATAAGTATAGTTACCCTATTTATAACCCTAGTTACTAAGTCCCATGAACCTTTAAGTAGGGCTTAAGGTTTAGGCTATAGCCTGTTGGAACTAACAAACTAGGGCCGGGGATTCTATGCTACATGGGTAGTTCTCCAAATTAGGGTCCCAGGTATAAGGGTGCTGTAGTATATTGGGGACCTAAAAAAGGACCCGAATTTAGAGAATTACCCACATATTCATTAAATTTTAATGAATGTGTGGGTAGTTCTCTAAATTCGGGTCCCTTTTTAAAGGGAACCTGAATACTATTACATACTATGACCGCTGCCCAAGCCCCTATGCTGAACTCTAAGCCACACATGCGTTTGCCAGCGAGAACGCTTTGGGCTTGCAGAGTTTAGGCTTCCCCACAGGAAAGCTTCATGAAACCCTCACAAGAGTACCGTCATTTATCAAGCCCATCTAAGGCGCTCATAGAGCCCCTTGCGAAGCAACCCTGAACCCTAAACACCTAAACCCGAAACCCCTAAACCCCTAAACCCCAAACCCATAACCGAAAATCCCTAAACCCCTAAGCCCCTAAACCCGAAACCCCGAAACCCATAACCGAAAATCCTTGCAAAGCCCATGAATCCAAACCTCCCAGCGGAGTCGTTCAAAATGCAAGGCGCGTAGGTCGAAGTGAGCTCCTGAGCCGGAGGACATGTCAGGGCCTCTAGGGTTTAGGGTTTAGGATTTTGTTGACCCAACGGGTCATATTCAGTGGGCGAGGAAGCCATGCCTAAGGGGTAACTACGTCTTCTCCGAAGAATGGTTCCAAAAGAATGACAAGGGCGACCCCGAAACTCTCGAAGTTCCAACCCTTCTTCCGAAACACCAAGAAAACCGAAAGCCTCCGAAGGTAAACAACCCCGAGGCTACAGGTGCCTAACGACGCACCAGAGGGTGCTAGCTTCAGCGACCTGTGTGTCATTTCTTGAGCCACCATACGCGTCAGCGCATTCGTCAGAGCGACATCTGTGCATACGCTCATGTTGTGAAGCTTCTCAGAGCGGCATCTGTGCATACGCTCGTGTTGTGAAGCTTCCGAAACTTTCCACAAACAAAACACACTGCTGCGCTATGTCCATGCCGCCACCTTATCACCAACACTCCTCCTTGGGCTGTCAGTCGGTGATTGACTAGCCCACCTTCCTGTGCAGCTGTTGGCGGCCTTGACAATATTGGCACAACTGTAAGTTCCTGCGCCTCGAAGTAGCATTCCGAAGTCCATGACAGGTGGGCTCGTAGTGAACCCTGTCCCCATGCTCGCTCACCACGAACGGGCCATTGAAGGGCCGAAATCCGTCATCAAAGTCTGTCTGCACTGCGACCGTCGCCGTCTGGACAGCATGAACCTCGGGCGCGCTCCTGAAGGGCGAAGGACGGGGGGTAGATCTCGTCGAAGGCCTGGGCGTATGGGGGGCAGGACGCTCTGCTCCCAAATCATCCAGGCCGTAGCGTGCGACCTCCTCCGATACTGCTTGTTGCAACCGCCTCAAGCGGCGTGCTTGCCTGGCATCCTGAACTGAGCCGCTTTGCCTCAGTGAGAACCACTCAAAGCACCATTTCATAGCTTCCCAAATGCCGATAGCTGCAACCAAAGCCACCATAGCCAGTCCATACAGCTCCCATGGGAAACTCACCTGCAAACCACTTGCAGCCTCAACCGGGGATGCCCTCGACACCTGTATCAGCCACCCAAGCACCACAGCCAGTCTGGCTAACACCGCAACCGTGCCGTTGAACTTGGCCATGTTCCCAGAAGAACTTGAGCGCTCAGGCTCACTACGAGTCTCCGGGGTCTGTAGGCCCCACAGCCTCAAAAGTTCTTGAAGGCGAGGACGATGAAACGCTTTCGTCCCCAGGTCACCGAGTTGACCCACACCTGGAATGTGCTCTATCGTGATCTCCTTCAGCCTGACAGCTTCCCTTAAGTGGTACGCCCTAACCCGAAGGTGTCGGGTTTTCCACGTGCCGGCAGACTCGCTGCTGAGTCCAACAGCAGCTGAGTTGTCAACCTTCAAAACCAACGTAGGCTTCTCGTTTTGGAGTTCGTTCGTCACTGCAATGACTCCATAAGACATCTGAGCAGCACTGATGGCCTCTATCAGTTCTGCTTCTGCCACGCTCAAGGCCACTAATGCTTGGCGCCCACACCGCCAAGCCACCGGCTGCTCCAAATACCTCGTCAGGCAACATCCCGCACTCCGGGAGCCATGGGGCGCGAAACTCGCGTCACTGAACCCTTCCACGTAGTGATCCAGTCTCCGCGGGCGGTAGTAGAGCTCAACATCAATCGTCTCCTTGAGGTAGCCAAGAGCTCTTAAGCCTATCTTCTCGACAAGGGCTGGGCATTTTAGACACCAAGACGACATAGTAGCCACTGTGTGGAGGAGGTCCGGGCGGCTCTTGCCGCTTAGCCACAACAACTCTCCTGTAAGAGCTTGGGCCCTCCTTAATTGCGGCTCATCATGCTGCTCCTCCGACGCCTCATTCTCCCCCAGGAGCCACTCCTGAGGACAAGGGATCATATACCCCCTTGCTTCTGTCAGTCCATGATGACGCAGAAGTTCTTCAATATATCCTCGTTGGTGAAGACGAATGGAGCCGGAGTCCTCTCGTATGATCTCCAACCCCAAAAACCTCAACGGGCTCGTTGTTGATGCCCAAGTGAGCGGCGATGCCTTCCACTCCTCGGTAAGCCAGGAATGAATGGCAACTATTACACCTTGTAAGCCCACATACAGGATATCGTCGACGTACACGTTGACATAGGCCTGTGTCTCCTCACAACCGTTGGCAGTAACCACGACCGCCGACCATATGTTTTCATCAGCCCGATGCTGACGGAGGTAGATGTAGCCGTCGTTGTAAGGGATCTTCGCGGCTCGAAGCCGCCGATCACGGAACCTTCCCCATAAGCGAGGTGACCTCCGGAACCCATATAGAGCTCTGTCAACCCGCCATAGCCGTAGGGCATACTCAACCCTGGCCAGCTGGAACACCTTCGGGGGGTACAAGGCATATGTCGTATCATCATCCTCTTCCTCCTCCTTGATCGGCGCCAGGATAAAGGCGTTCCGAATATCCGTAGAGGCCACCAGCCAGCCAAACGCGGCTGTGTGCACCAGCATGATGCGTAGTGCATCTGTCTGACAACCTCCTGCATAGGAATCTTCTTTAGCCTGCTTTCCTTGGAAATTTCCACATATCACCAACCTTGCCTTTCTCTTGAAGAACTCTGGAGACCCCGGAGGTAGATCTTGACCATTCTCATCCTTGAAATTCTCTTGGTCCGGGGGCTTAACGGTGAACACCCCCTTTGCTGGTAGTATAACCAACCTCCCTGAAGCTTCCAGTTCACGCTGCTCCTCAATGGTGAGGGGGATCAAAGCCTTGGCCTTAATGAGGGCATCTGCTTCCTTGTGAATAGCTTCAACCCAACGAGTAACATATTGCTTCACCTCGTCCAAGGCCACTGTAAACACCACCTTGAGGGGATTCGGGAGCGTCTCCAGTAGAGGTTCAACACCCCTTACTTCATCTTCCCCTTCAACTAGTCGGCACAACGACAGCCACTGTTCCGTCTCATAGCGGTCCTTGAACAAAGCCGACTCCCGGTCCTCGAGGTCCTTGACCAAGGTCTTGTTTGTTTCCAAAACACCAACGAAGTCCTCGGCCTCCTCGTGGGGGATCATTGAAAGAAGGTTCTCCTCCTCATCCAATAACCGCCGAGTCCACATCCTAACCCACATCTCTTCATCATCATCACAAGGCTGTGGAAACCAACCAGGACCATCAAGTAGTGCTGGCATCTCCCCATTCTCCTCCTGAACCGATACTTTCTTGAGACCACCATGAGGAGGAAGGTTGAACCCTAGCGCTTGTAGTTCATGTCGATGACACGCACTCAACTTGCCATGTTGACCCACCGTGTGCGCGATGACTGTCCACTTGGGGCCACCCTCCCAAGGCATAGTTTTGTGCAGCTTTTTGGGATCCACCTCCACAATGCGGTCTCGCACCGAGCTCACAAAACCCTTGACCACTGCATCTGCCCCGTTCTGGACCGCAACGACAGGAAGTCCTTCTCTTTGACCTTCCTGCCAAATACCTCCACCAACAAAGTTCCCAACAGTAAGCACGTAGTTCTTGGAGGTCTTCAAGTTGAAGCGATCCTTGTGAGCATCCGTACATAAATCTCGCGCTACAGTCATTGATGTAAAAGAAACATCTGCTCCACAGTGGTGCTGGAACATCGCAATCAAGTAGGAAGTCAAGGAACTATGCCTCGTCGTAGCCGTCGTGACTCCGGACCATGGACCCCGCTGGTAAGCTCCCAACGTCGTGTGTACAGTCGGTGGAGCATTATCCTTCCATGCTGAAGCCCGCTGCTTCTTAGTTCTCCTGAAGTTCTCGTTCTGGAGGACCTCCAAACAATCATTCATCGAAAAACGGCCTTCACTAAGATATTCTGCAGCGAGATCTCCCCGAGGTCCTGGGCCACCGGTTTCCGTGGATTCCTCAGATGAAAGGTCCACGGCCCTTAAGACGGCATCATCAGACAACACCTCATCAGACGACGAACATCCTTGATCCTCAGCCAGTGCTAAAATAGCACGCAATGCTTGAGCACGCTCTGCTCCATCTCCCTGCTCATCCCATAAACCAGGCATCAAACCCACACCGCCAGCGAGCTCCACAATGGACGATTTCCTCCGAATCCTCCGGGCCGGGGGAGAAGGTGCTTCCGCATCTGCCACTGCCCCTTCATCTTCTCGTGGTGGTTCTTCAAACTGTCTCACATTGGTTGTGTACCAAAGATTCCCTTCATCAGTGAGAACCAAATGTCCACCTGGTACTGAGCGAGCTGGACCCAAGTATGTTGCACTCATCCACCGGGGCTGCAAATCAAAGCGTCCACCTTGGCCATAACCCTTCCTCTTGGTAAACACCTTCGACCCGAACCTTGCCACAGTAGGCAACTTTCGGCCAAAGGCGACCGCTTGATGTTGAGCAACAGCTGTTTCAGCAGCAAACGGCCACCACGTTCGTACCACATCGTCATCAGCACCGCTAAGTTCCTTGGCTTGTCCCAGTAGCACCCTGATTCGGGCCTTGATGGCTCCCACCGCCCTCTCAGCTGTTCCATTTCCAGCTGGGTCTGATCCTTGGGCGCGGGTCACTTCAATGTCCCGCGCCGCTGCCCAAGACTCCAAAGCGTCCGTCTGCAACTCTCGAGCCCTGTCGCTATGTAGCTTGCATACCGGAAACCCATTGGAACGAAGTTGCACATAGAGCTCCTGCACCGCCCGAAGAGCATCCTTCTTCTTCCGCGACTTCATAGGCCTCGCGAGGTAGACCGAGGTGAACTCCAGGGGGGCTGCTAACTCTTTCAATGCCTCTACCTCCTTGTCCAGCGAAACCCCCGCATAGGCATCATCACCCACGGGCTCGGCAATCTTATCGTCGCCTTTGTCAACAAGCTCGCGCTCCCCTGGCTCTCCATCCACAACGACCTCCTCCTCATCCAAAATCCAGTCCCGGCCATCATCTGGAACGGGCCCCAAACTCTTGACATCATCGATCCCCTTCATTGCGGTCACGCCCTCTAGCTTTGGGAAACGATAGCAGCCCACCATAAGGTACTTGTAGCCTCCCGCACCATCCTTCCGAAAAGGGCCAGCGAGGTCTTTTCACTGGCCCGCTCGACGCAGACCCGACAATCCCGTCTGTAAGGAAGATGATCTCGTTGTAGATGTAGTTTCCATTCCTTCACGTCGAACTTCGCCAGGGAAGGAGCGGAGTCGGAGGGGAACCCGTCGAACCTTCTAACCAGGGAAGCAAGAAGACCCTCTCTGTTTCGTAGACCCTTCCAGGATTGAAGAGCCTCTGCCACATGAGCAACGAACTCCATTGGCCACACTGAACCAGCAGAATCTCCGGCCTCCAGGGCTCCCAGCTTGGCATTTCTCAGATGCCATAGGTCTAGATTCCCACCAAGCAGCACGGGCCTGTCGTTGAGAGCACATGGAACTTCTCCCATAAGAGCCTCCTGGGCGAAACCCTTCCACATGGAATGGTCGAAGAGGGACACCTTGCCCTCCTCGATAGCTGGATGCTCCAACATAAACCCAACATGCGGTTTGACGGGCGAGCCACTCAAGGATCCCTCTCTCCACGCCTTGAGGCGGCCAACCTCAGCCATATACCATAGCATCAGCATACGCGCCACAATCTTGAGCTCCTTGATCTGCTGAGGGGAGGTAGTTTGAGCTGTCACATCTACGGGAAAAGCATGCCTTGGTGGCCCACCGATGATAGCCTTGACCTTGCCCGCCAATGCAGCCCACGCCAGAACTTTGAACACCGCGTCCTGCCTCAGGAGGTCCATATCCTTCGAGGCTGTAATATCCACATCCACAATCACATCGCCACCATTCAAGGAATTTGCCCAAAAAGCACGTCTCATAATCTGCTGCTGCTTGGCCTCTCTTGTACGCTCATCTCCAGAGCACAGGTGCACCACCCGTCGCTTTGAAACAACGACCTTCTCTTCGCCCTCGACCAAGGCATCCCCTTCAAGAGCTTCCATCCATCCTTGGCCTCCTTGGGAACAGACTCTGGAAGTCCTAACAACACCTCTGGCGGTAGCGCTGCAAACACCGGGGACGTATGAAGAAACCCAGCCATTGAAGTGCGATCTCCATCTTCCTGAAGAGACTGGAGGTGCTTGTCGTGGTTCCACCCAGCTTTGCCCTGGTCACGGATAGCCTTCACTTGCAGCTGGAGGTCCGCTACCGTTTTCTTGAACTCCTTGATCCGCGCCTCCTCTAGCTCCGCTATGAGAGCCATTGCCTGAGAAACCGGAACGACAGGGCATTGGCCACGCAGCCTGACCCGCAATCGTCCATGTAGAGGATGCACAACCGTAAGCCGGGAAGGGGTCCACGACACCTTGCAGCCCAGTAGACTAACCAACTGGCCCATGGGGACGATCGCTTCTGAGCCGTTGTCCCCCAAAAGGGTCCCGCCACGGGTTTGTCGCAAACTGCGCTCTTCTCCTGTAGCCAGCGTCACTGCCACCGTTCGGGTGTTGCCATCGTTGTCCTCTTGTACAGCAGCTCGGTAGGCATGACTAGCACCGCTGTCCAACAATGCTTCTTCCTCTTCAGAGCCACTTGCCTGGAGAGCCACCGTCGTTGAGCTCAACCTGGTTTCATACCAGTCCACTACACTGTGGAAGGCAACACCTGAAGAAATCAAAGGGGCTCCAGCGTCCTTCACGGTGATCGCCTTGAGCCGACGCACCTCATCCAGCTGTTGTTGTATCATCGCCAAAGGATCCGCTGGAGGCGCGGGTCCCAAACTCTCCGGTCCGGACTGGGCCTGGAACGCCTTGAGCATCTTGTTGGTTTCATTCAGGATCTCTGTCATCTTGGCCGCATCTATCTTGTTGGTTCCCGCTGCCGCCGCCGTAGATGAAGAGGAAGATGAGGCCTCCTGAACTGCTGAGGGCGGCTTTGCTGGCGAAGGAATACTCAAAGGCGCCGCCGAGGTAGATGCGCTCATAGCCGCCGTCGTAGCCTTCGGTGGTGGAGGAGGAGGCTTCTCCGGGGGTCCGCTGTCCTTGGTAGGGCACTCCTTAGCCCTATGTTGCTTGGATCCACATAGCAGGCACCGCTCACCTCGGTTAAGACCCGTCCACGAATGCACAAAAGTACACTGCTTGCCATTCCTGCATCCATTGTCTGAACCAAACCATTGACACGGCTTCTTCTGACCCGGCGGCGTCGCAACCGCCTTGGCTTTTCCCTTCGGGGATTCCACAGTAGGCTGCACTCCCTTCAAAGACGTCGTAGTCGTTCCAGTCGCCCCCGTGGTGACCGCCGCCGATGCAGCAGGCGTAGCTGCACCAGATGCCTTGCGAGAACCCGCCCCCAACTGCTCCAGTTCAGCCAGTAAGTGCTGCAGGAACCTCATAACATTCGCTTGGCTCGGCCTCGAGTCGATCTGCAACTCCGTCTTTGCCAAGGCAACCCGGAACTTAAAGTCCGCACTCTGCTCGCTGGTCTTCTTCACGATGTTGCACAAGGAGCGAACCTGCAAGGACTCATCCGGAAGGGCTATGTTGAGATCAGCGGCTCGTTGAAGAAGACGGTACCACCTCCGAATAGCGACGACCGCTTCTGCCGGGCCTGCGCTGCTTTCACTAACATCAAGCTGCCGCAACAGCTGAGCCCGATCCTGGGCCCCACCCGGCTGGAAAACCACCATCAGCCTGAAAAGAATCTGGTGCAGCCCTTGAACCCTGTGCGCCACCAGCTCATCCCTGACACCACGCGGCAAAGAGCTGAGGACTAACGATGCCACCTTCCGCTCCAGCTTCTTGAACCTGTCCTGCTTGAGCTCCTCGGTCAGAACGGCCTTAACGATTAGACGCTTCATGGGCGACAACGACTGGTACTCCGCATACGCCTTCTGGGCTACAGCTAACGTCTTCTGCCACCACTCACCCGCTCCCAAAGCCAGACTCCCAATCTGCTGCTCCGCCAGATACAAGTAGTCCTGGAAATCCGTAGCCCCAGACTCCGGCGTGTATTCGGGGAGCTTGGCAAGCTCCGTGACAGCCTTCGGCTCCAGGTCCAGCGCGTCCGCACCCTTCTGTCTGAGCAAAACTTGCTGCAACTGAGACATGCCAGTGATGAGGACCTCAAGGGGATTCGGCGCCGCCTGAGAGTTGGCTCCTGCCGGCTCTGCTCCTTCCGGCCCAGCTGGTTGCAAGGGGCGCTCTGTCCTCGCAGTAAACGGACCACTTCCTTCCCCACGGTTGTGATTCGTCGGCGCCTCGTTCAAGCCGGGAGGAAAACCGATCTCATAATCCCCAAACGTAGGTGCCGCCTCTGTAGGGAGAGCCCGATAAGCTGCTTCAGTCGGCTGAACACCGTAGAGATCACCATCACTTAGCCCTTGAAGTAAGTCACTCGCATTCCTGCGCAGGTACCTCCCGCGCGCAAGGCCAGAGATCGATCCCGACCTTCCAGTCCGACCAGGGCTCCCAGAAGCTACGCGGCTGCGACCCTCAGGACTCGCACTTCGAGACACTCTGTCACGCCAGAATGTCGACTCATCCCGCGATCTTCGGGGTGGAGGATCTCGCAGGTCCGCTCCGAGTTCCTCCCCACGAACGCCAAGAGCACCCTTCTGATCACGATGTTCCGAAGCACCGGTTTCCTCGAAGAACGCAGGGACCCCACTAACTTCTGGCACATTAAACGATCGACGACCACCACCGTCCTCCTGTGCATTGACTGGATGACGACCACCACCGTCCTCCTGTGCAACAAAACTTTATAAAGTGGACCCGATCACTCCCTAGTACTCCACGACTGGTGTGCTGAGCCCGATCACCATGCGGTACCGTCGGATTCTACGAGGGCTGGTCTCCATGTAATACACGATTCACGGTCAAGGCCCGATCACCCCCTAGTACTCCACGACTGGTGTGTTGAGCCCGATCTCCATGCAGTACAGCGGGATTGTAAGAAGCTTGAACTCCCTCTGGTACTCCCTGGATGCCCGGAGCCCGATCACCCCCTAGTACTCCAAGACTGGTGTGTTGAGCCCGATCTCCATGAGGTACGTTATGCATGCTCAAGGCCCGATCTCCCCCTAGTACTCCACGACTGGTGCGATGAGCCCGATCTCCCTGAGGTACGGCAGGATTGTAAGAAGCCCGATCTCCTTCTGGTACTCCCTGGATGCTCGAAGCCCGATCACCCCCTAGTACTCCAAGACTGGTGTGCTGAGCCCGATCTCCCTGAGGTACGGCAGGATTGTAAGAAGCCGGATCTCCTTCTGGTAGGGCTGGATTGCTTAAAAGCTGCTCTCGAAGCTGTTGATTCTCCTGCCTCAGGCTCTCCAGACCTTGTTGTTGCACGCGAAGAGCCTCTTGTACTTGCCGTCGTACTTCGGCTTCTACAAGTTCACGAGGGATGGATACAGAAGACCCATCTTCCGTTCCAGGTGAACTCCTTTGCGGCCCATGCAGAAGAGGAGCCTGACTTGGCCACGATTCCATAACCCTCTGGGCACTCCTTCCAAACAAAGGAGGGTCCGCTGTTGCTGCCGACGCCGCCTCTGCCCGCGGTCCCTTGGTCTCTGCCTGCGGGGTTGCAGGCTGCGAGGTATGCTGGACTTGCTGTTGAACTAGAATCCCGGCACTTGCGCCACTCGCCCCAACAATCTGCTGCCTTGTCATCGTAGTCAGCGTCTCCACTGCAGAATGTTGCCGAAAGAAGTCTCCCAAACGTTGTACCCATCTAAAAGCTGCTGGGACCTCTTCCAAAGTTCTTGTGCCAGCGACCCGACCATGGTCGACTTCCTGCGGTTGGGCTGGCCAAGCCTCTTCTAAAAAAGCCCCACCCTCTCGTCCAAGACGACGTACATCCGGAGAATAAGGTAAGGACTCAATATCCACTTGAGGTTCGGCTCGAGGGGGATGATGCAGGACTCCGTTCGGCAGCTGAGGCCTCTCAGGCCTTGGCCCTTCGTAGTTCGGTCCCGCAACTTCTCCTTCTAGCCTTGCATGACCCACTTCCTCGCTTGGCGAAGCCACGTTCGTAGATTGGGCGGTCATAACCTGTTGACCCAACGGGTCATATTCAGTGGGCGAGGAAGCCATGCCTAAGGGGTAACTACGTCTTCTCCGAAGAATGGTTCCAAAAGAATGACAAGGGAAGCCCTCAAACGGGCGACCCCGAAACTCTCGAAGTTCCAACCCTTCTTCCGAAACACCAAGAAAACCGAAAGCCTCCGAAGGTAAACAACCCCGAGGTTACAGGTGCCTAACGACGCACCAGAGGGTGCTAGCTTCAGCGACCTGTGTGTCATTTCTTGAGCCACCATACGCGTCAGCGCATTCGTCAGAGCGACATCTGTGCATACGCTCATGTTGTGAAGCTTCTCAGAGCGGCATCTGTGCATACGCTCGTGTTGTGAAGCTTCCGAAACTTTCCACAAACAAAACACACTGCTGCGCTATGTCCATGCCGCCACCTTATCACCAACAGATTTATAGGGGGTTTAGGGTTGGTTTAGGGTATAAAGTTTAGGGTTGAGGATTTATAGGGGTTTAGGGTTGGTTTAGGGTATAAAGTTTAGGGTTTAGGATTTCTACGGGTTTAGGGTTTTAGGGCCTTCGGGTTTATAGAGGTTTAGGGTTTAGGGCCTTCGGGTTTAGAGCGGTTTAGGGTTAGGGGTTTCACCGGATATTCTGTACGGTCTCACACTGCAAAAGGTGTTTCATCGGACTGAAAGTTTTCTTGGCCAGTTTGGGACCTCAGAAGCCCAGCAAAGTGTAGAGCTTCAGCCCTTTTTTGATAACAGGAAGACCTTTCCTTCCTGGTTCTTCGTAGGGAATGGAGGAATATGGGCTTGTGGGACTACTATAAGGGACTATCATAGGGATCCATTCCCCCTTTCCAACTAAGAACCCTAAACCCTAAACCCTAAACCCTAAACAGGGAGTCTTTTAGGGTTTAGGGTAAGCCCCCGAGCCTCTCTGCGTCAAAAAACCCTTGTTTTGAAACAGGCAGCTGTTGCAAAATACGCGCATACCGTTTAGGGTTTAGGGCTTAGGGTTCAAAGAAGCCGATGCCAATAATGAAGGCCCCTGCCCCTTACACAAACCCTCCTTGAAGATCCATGGGACTTAGTAGCTAGGGCTATAAATAGGGTAGCTATACTGATAAGTCCTTATCATCCCAATTCAAGCACTTATGATTGTACTTCCTAAGTCCCATGTCATGAACCTCCACGTCCCTAAACCCTAAACCCCAAACCCTACCAGCCCAAAGAACCCGATTCCCATGGTGAAGGCCCCCATAATGCCCTGAGCCTTACACAAACCCTAATGAAACCCATATCAGAGAACTATTAAGGCCCCTAAATATGCTAAGCCTTACACACAACCCCTAAAGCCTAAACCCTAAAACCCTAAAACCCTAAACCCTAAACCCTAAACCCTAAAACCCTAAACCCTAAAACCCCTGAAACCCTAAACCCTAAAACCCCTGAAACCCTAAAACCCAAAAACCCTAAAACCCAAAAACCCTAAAACCCTAAACCCTAAACCCTAAAACCCTAAACCCTAAACCCTAAAACCCTAAACCCTAAGCTTGAAACATTAGATCGCAGCCAAGTCTCCACAGCTACCGAAGCGAATTCCTCGGAATGGGTCCTCCAAGGCATCGAGGCTCTAAGGTTTCAGGATTCAGGGTTTAGGGTTTAGGGTCTAGCGTTTAAGGTTTAGGGTTTAGGCTTTAGGCTTTAGAGTTTAGGGTGTTTCTTGGTTGTTGAAGGGTTCAGGGTTTAGGGTTTCAGGGCTCAGGGCTCAGGGTTTAGATGGGTTCAGGGGTTCAGGGCTTTAGAATTAAATTAGAGCCCTACATTCAGCAAGGCCGAAAGCCCCGGATGCCCGCCAGTCTTCAAACTTGTGGTTGGGATTCTTTTACCTTTTTGGGGGGTGGGGGGGTATATATGAGTGTAAGTCCACCAAAAGCCAGAAATAAACTACTGTAGGCGCGCTACGGATACTTTTCAGGATTTCTTGGGGCTTCTCGCGGTAGGTTTGCGGGCTACTTAAAATTTAAAAGGTTCATGGGACTTAGTGTATAGCGTTATAAATGAGGTAACTATACTTAGAAATACTTACAGCCCCAATGAAGGTACTCTTAACTGTACTTGATAAGTCTCACGAACCTCCGAGTCCCTGAACCCTAAACCCTAACCCTAAGGCTCTAAGGACTCATATTTTAAGGCCTTTGGACCGAAAGACCATGCTATATAAGGCTTTTGGGCTATTTTGAGCCTTAGGGTAATTAAACCCTAGACCTTAGACCCTAGACCCTAAACCTTAGAACTGTACTTAGTCTGTCCCATGAACCACCAAGTTCCTGATCCCTAAACCCTAAACAAACCCTAAGTTAACCCTAGACCCTTAGCCCTAAACCCTATATAAACCCTAAATATATACTTCAATTATAAAAATTACATTAGAAAAGGTAATATGGATAAATATGCAACCTTAGAACAGCACTTAGTCTGTCCCATGAACCTCCGAGTAAGGGCTGAAAGCGCGCCATCTTCGGCTTAGGGGCTGAAGTCACTCGACCTGGAACTCTTAAGGTCCTAAACCCTGCTTGGAGGATCATGGGTTTGGATTTGGGGTTTAGGGTTCAGGGTTCAGGGCTTAGGGTTTAGGGTTGAGGATTTAGGGTCTAGGGTTTAGGGTTTAGGGTTTAGGGTTTAGGGTTTAGGGCTCGGGTGGCTTTTCGGGGTGCTTTGTCCCTCGGACTTGGCTGTAGAGGCCTTTCGGCTTTGAATATTTCG